TTTGCCATATAACTTCGTAATTTAGGGGACTGCCTCAATCATACTCATACTGATTATTCTACACATTGTATACTACAATTAGAATACCTCAAAGTTGATGTGATGGGCTTAGGAAAAAGATTGTGCATTTTTTCCTGACGCAAATTCCTATCAACCGTATAGATTTTGCCTTATAGCTTAGTAATTTACTGAGGTCCGTGAAGTTGGCATACCCATATTAGCGTATCCACTTTTGATCATACCAATCGTTAGTTCATCGTTAGTTCTCGATAGTTCCCAAATTTTTTCGTTAGTTCTCAAAAAATAAAAAAGTTATAGCCGATTATAAGTGGGTACGCTAACTTCACACTTCCGGGTTCTAGCACGCGCCGTTTTCTGAGGAGAAATGTTTACATCTATATACCAATCGTTAGTTCTTCGTTAGTACTCGATAGTTCCCAAATTTTTTAGTTAGTTCTCAAAAAATAAAAAAGTTATGAAGCATACAAAGTGGGTACGCTAACTTCACAATTGTAGAATTTCCAGCGGGAACAGTTTTTTTACTATAAATGCCTATATCGATATACCAATCGTTAGTTCTTCGTTAGTTCTCGATAGTTCTCCAAAATTAACGTTAGTTCTAAAAAAATAAAAAAGTTACGAAGCATAAAAAGTGGGTACGCCAACTTCACAGTTATAGAATTTCCAGCGGGCACAGTTTTTTTACTATAAATGCCTATATCTATATATCAATCGTTAGTTCTTCGTTAGTTCTCGATAGTTCTCCAATATTTACGTTAGTTCTCAAAAAATAAAAAAGTTAAGAGGCATACAAAGTGGGTACGCCAACTTCACAATTATAGAATTTCCAGCGGGGACAGTTTTTTTACTATAAATACCTATATCTATATACCAATCGTTAGTTCTTCGTTAGTTCTCGATAGTTCTCCAATATTAACGTTAGTTCTCAAAAAATAAAAAAGTTAAGAGGCATACAAAGTGGGTACGCCAACTTCACAATTATAGAATTTCCAGCGGGCACAGTTTTTTTACTATAAATACCTATATCTATATACCAATCGTTAGTTCTTCGTTAGTTCTCGATAGTTCTCCAATATTTACGTTAGTTCTCAAAAAATAAAAAAGTTAAGAGGCATACAAAGTGGGTACGCTAACTTCACAACTATACAATTTCCAGCGGGCACAGTTTTTTTACTATAAATGCCTATATCTATATACCAATCGTTAGTTCTTCGTTAGTTCTCGATAGTTCTCCAATATTTACGTTAGTTCTCAAAAAATAAAAAAGATAAGAGGCAAACAAAGTGGGTACGCCAACTTCGCAATTATAGAATTTCCAGCGGGCACAGTTTATTTACTATAAATACCTATATCTATATACCAATCGTTAGTTCTTCGTTAGTTCTCGACAGTTCTCCAATATTAACTTTAGTTCTCAAAAAATAAAAAAGTTAAGAGGCATACAAAGTGGGTACGCTAACTTCACAACTATACAATTTCCAGCGGGCACCGTTTTCTGACTATAAATGCTTATATCTATACACCAATCGTTAGTTCTTCGTTCGTTCTCGATAGTTCTCCAATATTTACGTTAGTTCTCAAAAAATAAAAAAGATAAGAGGCAAACAAAGTGGGTACGCCAACTTCGCAATTATAGAATTTCCAGCGGGCACAGTTTATTTACTATAAATACCTATATCTATATACCAATCGTTAGTTCTTCGTTAGTTCTCGATAGTTCTCCAATATTTACGTTAGTTCTCAAAAAATAAAAAAGTTAAGAGGCATACAAAGTGGGTACGCTAACTTCACAACTATACAATTTCCAGCGGGCACAGTTTTTTTACTATAAATGCCTATATCTATATACCAATCGTTAGTTCTTCGTTAGTTCTCGATAGTTCTCCAATATTTACGTTAGTTCTCAAAAAATAAAAAAGATAAGAGGCAAACAAAGTGGGTACGCCAACTTCGCAATTATAGAATTTCCAGCGGGCACAGTTTATTTACTATAAATACCTATATCTATATACCAATCGTTAGTTCTTCGTTAGTTCTCGATAGTTCTCCAATATTTACGTTAGTTCTCAAAAAATAAAAAAGTTAAGAGGCATACAAAGTGGGTACGCTAACTTCACAACTATACAATTTCCAGCGGGCACCGTTTTCTGACTATAAATGCTTATATCTATACACCAATCGTTAGTTCTTCGTTCGTTCTCGATAGTTCTCCAATATTTACGTTAGTTCTCAAAAAATAAAAAAGTTACGAGGCGTACAAAGTGAGTACGCTGACTTCAAAATTATAAAATTTCCAGCGGACACCGTCTTCTGACTAAAACGCTTATATCTATATACCAATTTTTAGTTCTTCGTTATTACTTGTTAGTTCCCCAATATTATTACTAGTTCTTAAAAAATAAAAAGGCAATAAGGTCTTAAACGTGGTTATGCCAACCTCACACCCAAATCATTCCTAGCGTGCACCCTTGTCTGACTAAAAGTGCCTATATCCTAATATTAATCGTAAGATCTTGATAGCTCACCGATTTTTTTGTTAGTTCAAAAAAAATTAAATAAATAGCCGTATAGCCAGTAATGAATAGATAAACTTACTTAATACTTCTGATTTCCAGCGCGCACCTTCATTCAACGAAAAATGCTTACAGTATACGACTATACAACTAAATAAATATTGTCTCGACCCCGCCATACCCAATACGCCATGCTAGTGATGTGTTGTACACATTTATTCCATCCACCACTCCAGTCTCCAGTTTGTTCAGGTCCGTATGACCTTCCAGTCTCGATCCGTGCAACTGTCACTCGTTACGTGTTACGTTTAATGATGTAATTTTATAATACTAATACCGAACACAAACAAATACAAACAATACAAACGATTAGTTCAATTAACCAAACAGAAGTTCTTTGATCGTACATATTTTATCTGCTTAGTCCAATTCAAATAATCACTGCTTATAAATTACTTTATACCATTTTACTTAGCAGACTCTGGTTTTCATTTTGATGGATAGTTTATTTTGTTTCCATGATGGACTTTTTATAAAATACACTTTTTCACACAACTAAGTAGGTATAAATATGATTTCATTGCTTATCTAAAACCAATTTTTGGAAGTGTTGTCTTTTTTGGATGTTCTAATTAACTGAACATATTCAACTGTTAAACATTTTGATACCGTAATCAAAATTATCACTCCTAAAAAATAATCTAGCCGAGTGACACCTGCAACTACTATTGCGGATATCACAGATAAGCGCTATCCTGGAACTGATAAGCAAACCTTTCTCTTCGAGAATCATAATGTGATAGTTATTCTAATGTCAGTGTTACTTTGATTTTCATTGTGTGAAAATGAATCAAATTACAGTGCATAGAACTAAAAATTGGTATATAGATACAAGCGTTTTTAGTCGGAAAACGGTGCCCGCTGGAAATTTTATAATTTTGAAGTCAGCGTACTCACTTTGTATGCCTCGTAACTTTTTTATTTTTTTAGAACTAACGTAAATATTGGAGAACTATCGAGAACTAACAAAGAACTAACGATTGGTATATAGATATAATCATTTGTAGTCAGAAATCGGTTCCCGATAGAAATTGTATAATCGTGATGTTAGCAAACCCACTTTGTATGCCTCGTATTTTTTTTTTTTTACAACTAACGTAAATATTTGAGAACTATGGAGAAGTAACGAAGAACTAACGATTGGTATATAAATATAAGCATTTTTATTTAGAAAACTGTGCCCGCTGGAAATTCTATAATTGTGAAGTTGGCGTACCCACTTTTTATGCTTCGTAACTTTTTCATTTTTTGAGAACTAACGCAAATATTGGAGAACTATTGAGAACTAACGAAGAACTACCGATTGGTATATAGATATAAGCATTTATAGTCAGAAAACGGTGCCCGCTGGAAATTGTATGGTTGTGAAGTTAGCGTACCCACTTTGTATGCCTCGTAGCTTTTTTATTTTTTGAGAACTAACGTAAATATTGGAGAACTATCGAGAACTAACGAAGAACTAACGATTGGTATATAGATATAGGCATTTATAGTCAGAAAACGGTGCCCGCTGGAAATTGTATAATTGTGAAGTTAGCGTACCCACTTTGTATGCCTCGTAACTTTTTGGTTTTTTGAGAACTAACGTAAATATTGGAGAACTATCGAGAACTAACGAAGAACTAACGATTGGTATATAGATATAGGCATTTATAGTAAAAAAACTGTTCCCGCTGGAAATTGTACAATTGTGAAGTTAGCGTACCCACTTTGTATGCCTCATAACTTTTTTATTTTTTGAGAACTAACGAAAAAATTTGGGAACTATCGAGGACTAACGAAGAACTAACGATTGGTATATAGATGTAAACATTTCTCCTCAGAATACGGCCCGTGCTAGAACCCGGAAGTGTGAAGTTAGCGTACCCACTTATAATCGGCTATAACTTTTTTATCTTTTGAGAACTAACGAAAAAATTTGGGAACTATCGAGAACTAATGATGAACTAACGATTGGTATGATCAAAAGTGGATACGCTAATATGGGTACGCCAACTTCACGGACCTAATTTACTGGACTGCCTCAATCATATTTATACCGAGTATTCTACACATTGTATATTACCATTAGAATACCTCAAAGTTGATGTGATGGGCTAAGGAAAAAGATTGTGCACTTCTTTAAGTTCGGAGTTTTAATTGATCGCGTTATGTTAAGCCATAGCTACGTTATAATGTACAGTAAGGTCTCAAATATGCCTTTTAAAATACGCCAATTAATTAGTTTTAACGTGTATACACGTTTTATCAAGGTATAATTGACATTATATAAATGTAAAAACATAATTTCGCACCGTATTGTCATTGAAATGCGTTTCCGACATCCCTGCAAAATACGTTTGTGGCACTCGCAGGCGTACTAACCCATATCTAATACAATCCGAAAAAGCGCCGATGAAAAGAGCCGCTATCTTCACGACGGTGACGGTGTTCCTTAGGAGGATGAGAAATCTGTTTTATCTATGCTATTATATTACGGATGTGGATGTGTGCTTGTTGAGTGAAATAGTCTAAATAGGTGAGTTGCTTTTGTTTGTTTACATGTTCAGGTTTAACAATCTAAAGATTCAGCTAAATAAAAACAAATTTAAAAAAATAATAAATAAAATGTTGGGTATTATAACGGTGTATGGTATTACTTAAGCATGGGACCTTAATTATTGCAATCTTAATTAAAACGTCGTTTTGTTGTTTAGCTTATTACGTTAAGTCAGTCAAGTGAGTTTTCAAAACATAGGCCTAGGGAACTTAAGTTATTTAGTTATTAAGTAGGCTGGCCTATACCATAGACAAAAAGAATTAAATATAGACCGTCAGCTGTGCTGCGGTTACCATAGGTTCTGGCGCACACCGCTTGGAGCACCACGGTAGTTACGGCGTACGCGCTGCGTAAACTACAGCGGTGTGCGCCGGAACCTATGGTAACCATGGCAACCGCAGCACGGCTAGTAGTCTATATATAATTCTTTTTGTCTATGCCTATACATAACATAACAGTCCTAAGGAGTACAGTTTATTATAGTGATCCACGATTGTGAGATGTTACAATCAAAACGTTTTGATTGTTTGAACCTCTCGAGACGTTTTGATTGTATTTTTTCTTAGCGAGAGGTTCTTACTGGGAGGTTTCATCGAGATATTCGTGGTGATTGTTTCTTTTCAGCACGCTTCTCTTGTAAGTATCTGGTATTCGTCTAAAAGAGAAGCGAGAAGTCCTTAACGAGTTCATGACAATTGTTTCGTTAAGTACGGTATCGGCAATTATCATCATTCAATTTTTATTGCATCTGCCGGGGATTGACCCCCAATATGAGGTCTAGCCTAACTTACTTAATTCAAAACAGAGGAAGGTTTATGGATATAGGCTAACTTATTACTTCCTTTATCTAGACGGAATAAGTAGTGACTAAACCACCCTTAAAAGACTATTGGTCTTTTAATTGACGAGACAATATATTTTACTAACAAAATGTTTGTATTTAAATCAAAATGTTGACAAGGAGACTAAACGTTCTCGTATATGTTATGTTAAGGCCTAACCTTACAGGCACACGGTGTGACTGTTTTACAACTTACGTTGCAAACCAGTTGCGCTTGCAACTGCTTTGTGACCTCGGCAATGTATTGCAGTCGGGAGGCGCACACGACGCAACTGGTTGTATGCGATATCAAAAAAAGTTTGAAACCAGTCACATGCAACCGTGGGCCCAGTGTTGCAGTTGCGTTGCAGACTTCAGTTGCAAGAGACCACGGGGTGTTTTTGTGGTGTTTGGTGGTATTTTGACGGCCGTATAGTGTTTTTAGTGTTTATAATTTTCTATCCGAATAGCTCTGGCTGCTACAAACAGCCTAGGACTAACATTCTTTTCAAATAAGGGTGAACCCAATGCTCTCTCAGTACCTACTCTTCGCTGTCTTCGGTACTGATAATAGCTGATATCGTCTTCTTCGTCTGAGTCTGACATAGTAAGGGCACTTAAGGCCTTAAAACAACGTATCGTCACTAAATTGACACTCCACTGATTGCACAATAGACGCAACTGTAGTTGTAAAACAGTCACACCGTGTGCGGACAGAAGAAAACTTTTTTACTTTAAGCCTAAATGGTATTTTTCTCATAGGCCATTTCAAACACTTTTTTCTTCTTCCATTTTTTTGGCAAACACCTTTTAACGTATTTCACACCCAAAAATGCAATTTAAAATTGAGTAAAGTGTAATCACTAATTGGCACATTTGACCAGTAAATGTGTCAATAACACTAACCTAACTTAACTTAAAACCTAACCTAACCTTGGGTTTTTATGCTAAATCGGTAATTTTCAGCACTTTGCTAACCTAAGCATGGATTATGTTGGGGTGGGTAAGGTTAGGTTAGATTAGATTAAACTTAGATTTGGATAAGTTACTTAGGTTGGATTAAGTTCTAGGCCTTATTTGGTTTACCCAAAAAAGGTCATTTTTGGCAATGCTATAGGTATATATATTTTTTTTCAAACCTGATCGGCATTTGCCGAAAAAGTGTTTGAAATGGACTAAATAATACAAAAAAATAAACACATAAAAAAGTAAAAAAGAAAATTTTTAAGCCCCAAACTTAATTGATAGGTATCTAGCTTTTATTGCGATGTTCAAACACGATTTTCAGGGTGAAATAGTAATTTCCCCCAAAAGTGCCAGAGGTTAAAATCTGATTAAAATAGCCTAATTTTGGCAGATAAAGTAAAAAAAATGCTGTAGCCTATAACATAAATAGTAGGTTATTAGGTCAGTATTACCTAATTCATTTTCAGTCTGAGAATTGTATTTGTAAAATCTTAGTCCAGATTTATAAAATTTGCACACATAAATTGTGCATAGGGATGGGGTTCAAATCATGTGCTTAGCCTACATGGTTTCCTTAATTTAAATGAAAGAGGTTTACCAAAACCTCAGGCCTACAATTATAGAAGAACGTAACACATTTGCTGAGAGAAAATTGTTTAAGAACTAATTTATAAGTTAGGTAAGTTAGTATAGTAACTTGAATGCTAACATTTTTTATTCGGTAAAATCCTTCTATTGTGTCGAAAAGTCGAGAACGAGTAAGCAATAAAAGTCAGGACCAAGAACTAATTGTTGATTTTTGAAGCTCAAAGCTTATCAGTCATGTATACTGGTGGACCCCACCTCCCACTGTGAGCTTAAAACAGCATAGGCTGGCCGCTGCCATAGCGTTCTACTCTGACACGCCACAACACTGTCCCACAATACAAGTCCACACACATCCAAACTGCATTAGTTTTTGTATAGTAGTGTTAGCAAATAACGAGCACCGATGAAGGCCAGGTAAAGTCCCGTCACACGCACACACCCCCACACTCACAAGCGCAAGGAACAGGTAGGTTGTTCGACCGATGAATAGCGGCCTTTAAATCCCATTAGTCACGCCTCATTGAATACTCTACTTAAAAGCGGATATGAACCAAATCATTATTTGCTAAAGTAACTTACTTGATACTGTGTGTGTTATGAATGTTTGGAGTATTTCAATAACCTAAAAACTGCTTAACCAATTGAGCTGATTGTTTTATGAGTAGAGCTAATATAACCACAAGCTTAAACAGGGTTGGTACGGTCAGGGAAAACCTGGAAAACCTGGAAATGTCAGGGAATTTTGTTGGTCTGGAAAAGTCAGGGAATTTTGGAAAAAATCTGGAATTTCTCTTGAAAGACTACATTTTTTACAGATATGCTACATTTTGCATCTACGTCTCAATACTTGGTCAAAAACATCGAAGTTTGACGAAAACATCGATGTAACAAAAACATCTGGAACCTACCATCGATATAAAAAATATCGAACATCGACAGACATTCTATCATCACCCTCTGATTACTGGCTTAATTGAACGCACCGAGCTCCCAGTGTTTCTACACGACCAAAAGAATATAATCCTGGTCACTTGGTTAAGAAATCCCGTTTAATCCCTTAAGATTTTTTATGTTAAATTCTGAGTGTTGAATTGGACATATTTAGTTTAAATAGTTGTTTTAACATTGCTATTATATTTTGTTAAGGTAATTTTTTCGATTGGGGTTAGTTTTTCACTAAAATAAAAGCATAGTAAATAAAAACGGACGTCATAGCCAAAACTCCTGTTTTATCCCACATCCCCTTCAAATCCCGCTCATGCTCTAAAAATCCTGTTTTCGGGATCTTATCTTATCTTATCTGACAGGGGCAGGTCTTTAAGAGACCTTTAAGCACTTCATCCGAAATCGAATTATTTGGGGTGCGCAATAATTGCTTTCTTGTTGACCTACAAGTTAAGGCGCCCAATGAATGCCTGTAGCTTCCCAATTAGTTCATCCTCAGGAAGGTATCTACCTCTAGCCATATTTCCAAGAGTTATCGATCTAGCGTCAAAGAGCTTGTTACAATCAAAGAGTAAGTGATCAGCTGTCTCTTCTGACCTATCACAGTACCTACAGATCGGTTCACCATCATATAAGCCCATCCGTTGTAGATGTTTCCTGAATCTTCCATGACCAGTTATCAGTTCAACAATTAATTTAATTCTTCGTCTGTCTAGTCTCAAGAGGTCACAGGCAACCTTTTTAGAAGGCCTAAACAGAGTAAGCTGGCTGACCCTAAGAAGGGGAACATCGACCCAGCGTTTGCGATGCTTTTCCTTGGCCCATGACGCAATCGCAGAACATGCACTGTTTCGTGAGATGCCACAGAAGGGTTGTGGGCCTATCATTGAAGTCGCAGAGGCAGTATTTGCCAATCTGTCTGCAGCTTCATTTCCTTTAATGCCTGAGTGTCCTGGCACCCAGCAAAGCGTAAGGTCATTTCTCCTACCCAACTCAGACACAGAAGCAAGACAATCCCACACGAGCCTGGAGTTGAATTCGTAAGAGTTTAATGCTTTTAAGGTCGCTTGACTATCAGTATAGATATTGATTGTTTTGTCTCTGATATCTTTGTTAAGATGTTCTTGAGCACAAACTAGAATGGCAGTGACTTCCGCTTGAAAGACAGTTGGGTACACCCCCATTGGAAGACAAATGCCAGTGCCTCCATTCATCCAATGCACACCTGCTCCAGTGCCCCCATTTTTGATCTTAGAACCATCAGTATAGCATTCTAAATCACCTGTGGGTATGGGTCCTTTTCCGCCAGACCAATCCTTCCTATCTGGTATTAGTACTTTGAAAGGCTTTCCAAAGGAGTATTTTTTGGACATGTGATCTGAAGGCAAGTGCAATTCATCATTATGTACCACCTGAACAATTTTGGAGTGCCCTTTATTGTTTCCTGAGGTTATCCATAAGTATTCGCATCTAAGGCGTTGGGCTGTTTTACTTGCTACCACCTTGATGTAAATGTCGATAGGTAGCATATCAAGCAGACAGTCAAGAGCCGCTCCAGGACAGCTGCTTACTGCCCCAGTTATCATTATAAGAGCAAGCCTCTGAACTCCTGCTAAAGCTTTGACAGCTATAGTAGATTCCATCTTTGGCCACCACACAAGCGAACCATATGTAAGGGCGGGTCAAACAACAGATACATACAGCCAGTGCATAAAAGTTTAGGCTGTAACCCCCATGTGCCACTTACCATCCGCCTGCATGCCATAAGGGACCATTTGCCACGCTCAGTGACTTTTTGAAGATGTGGTCCCCAGTGAAGTGATCTGTCCAAAATTACACAAAGATACTTCACCTGATTCTGAATTGAATGAATTGAATTGAAAAATTCTTTATTGTTCATTTCAAATACAACAGGTAAAATACAATACATATTTATACACTTAAGTTGTACATAAGTATTGTATTAGTATTACATGTTTATTGTATTTATTCGAATATAAACTAAAAACACAATACTCTTCACAACATAAATCTAACTAATTATTTTATTAAATAACGAACAATAAAGCCCTGAGGTTACAGAACCTGTGCGGGAAACAAACATTTTTGGTAGTTGGAGCAACTCGTGGTTGGAAAGTCCAGCCCGTCACCATTACCACACTATTTTTATTACAAAATTAAAACAATATATAAAACTAGGCTTCAAACAATAGCTTTAACACAGCAACCTATCACAACAAAACCTTGTCTACCTATCTATTTGAAAACTGACCCTATACTGTCAATCTTCGTGATTACAGTACTATTTTGGAGTGTCCTGAACTTACAGCTTATTTGGACATATCGAGCATCCCTGACTTAATAAGTGCAAGATTATTAAAAATAACTATGATGTACTGTTAGACCAATGAGGTAAAAAATGTGTTTATACTATCTATTTCGAGCAAGTAGTTTCGTGTTAATTTGCTGAATACATTGACGTTTTCACTTGCTTTGATGGGCTCGGGAAGAAGGTTATAAAATGTGGGAGCCAAATATAAGAAGAATTTTTTAAATATTGTTAGTCTAGGTTTGGGTACATAGACGTTGTTTTTACTTCTTAGTCTAGTATGTCTTGGATTTGTTCTATCAGTGCCACATCTATTGAAATATATTTTCAGAACTTTGTAAACATATAGATTCCTGATAGGTAATATTTCAATAATTTTGAAAAGTGGGAATGAAGGTTCAGTTTTGGTTTTATTTAGCATTATCCTGATGAAAGATTTTTGTAAAGTAATGATTGGTTTTAGGCTGGTAAAATATGTTCCACCCCATATTTCTATTCCATAATCTATTTTAGAGTTTATAAATGCGAAATAAATTGTTCTCATCAGTTGAGTATAGCAAACGGACCTAAGCATATAAAATATTTGTATGTACTTGACTAATTTTGTTTTTAAGTAATTTATGTGCTCTTTCCAGCTAAGTTTGCTGTCAAGCCATATCCCTAGATATTTTATACTATCCACTTGCTCTAGATTTGGACATGTGCAAAGATTTTGGGCAAGGGAGCAAGTTACTTCATGATATTTTAGGCCGGTACAAAAGGACAATTGTTTAGTCATATTAAAAATAATATATTTTGTTTTCGGGCTCATAACCATAAGGTTACTTGAAAACCAATATCTAAGCATATTAATGTCATGTTGCATTTGATCCTTGAGGTCTTGAATGGAATTCGCCTCATAGGATAATGCAGTATCATCAGCAAAAGCCACCAACTTGCCTTTAAAATTGCCATTACACAAGTCATTGACATATATTAGGAAAAGTGGACCAGACAACACTGACCCTTGGGGTATTCCAAACTCAATTTTACCCTCTTCACTCACTGTATTGTTTACTTTTGTGACTTGCCTTCTACCCTCTAAATATGATCGAAACCACGCCAGTGGAACTCCACGAATTCCTGCATTGTACATCCTACACAATAATATGCCGTGGTCTACTGTGTCAAATGCTTTCATTACGTCTACAAAAATACCGGCACAAAGTTTACCATCATTAATGGTTGTGTATACTTCATACATAAAGTTTATTAGAGCAGAGCTTGTATTTAATTTACTTTGAAAGCCAAATTGATTTTTGCTAAAAAATCTATGCTTATTTAGAAAGTTAACCAATCGCACCTTAACAATCTTTTCTAGAATTTTTGAAAAAATAGATAAAAGAGCTATTGGTCTATAATTGTTTGGGTCATGTTTGTCATTTTTCTTGAATAATGGTATTATTACAGCTTGTTTCAATTTTGATGGGAATTCACCACTTGATAAACTTAAATTAAAAATATATACTAGTATGTTTACAATGGAGTTAGATATTTCTTTTATTACAATGGGTGTTACGTTGTCATATCCTGGGGATTTGTTATTTTTCAGATTCTTTATTATCGTTAGTATTTCTTCCTCGTATGTTGGGTAAAAGAAAATTGAGTCATTGCATGCGAAACTTTGGAATTTATCTTTGAGCACATTAAATTCATTATGAAAACAATCTTTATCACTATCAATTTCTTCTCTTAAATTCTTGGCCACTGAACAGAAGAAATCATTAAGCATGTTTGATACATTGGCTGGAGAGCTAATCATTTTATCATTATTATCTTTCAAGACTATGTTAGATTTATTAATTTCTCTATTTCCTGTTAATTCTTTTATAAATTTCCATTGTGTTTTACTATTGTTTTTGTTGGTTTCAAATAGGTTTGAGTAGTAGCGTTGTTTTACGTATCTAATATGATTTATCAAGGCATTCTTTTGACTTTTGTACATATGTTCTTTTATAGTGTCGTTAGGATTTTTTATATGTTCCCTATAACTTTTGTTTTTTTGGTCAATACTATTTTTTATTGTAACGTTCATCCACGGGGATTTAAACTTACACTTAACTTTGACAATTTTATATGATTTATTAATGCAGGAGTGTAGTTTGTCAATGAAATGATCAAAAACAATTGAGGCTGAGCATGTAGTAAACACTTTACTCCAGTCCATTTCGTTTACAAACACTTTAAGAGAGTTTAAGTCAAGTTTCCTCAATTGATTCTCATTGCTTTCGTTCCTTTGTGTAAACACTTTATCATGACTCCATTAACATGACTTCAGCAGCTCTATTACAGTGCCCTGCAGTCTTAGTGGGCCGATCCCATCCAGTTTCCTCCTTCTTGTGAAGGGTACTATTACAACTTTCCTGGGATTTATAGAGAGCCCATCTTCCTGGTACCAACGGTCCACTACCCTTAAAGCTCTATTCATAAGGTCAGTTATGGTTCCGTGGAACTTTCCAACCACAAGGATTGCAACATCATCAGCATAACCTAAGGCGAAAACCCCACTTTTGTTGAGTGACCTTATAAGGTCGTCTGCTACCAAATTCCAAAGGAGAGGAGAGAGAACCCCCCCCCCCCCCCCTGAGGGCATCCTCGAGTAGTTCTTGCCTCGATCGTGTCATTATGGAGTGAGAGCCTAACCTTCCTACTGTGAAGCAAGGATTCAATCCATCTACATATTATACCGTGAAAACCTCTTCCTCTCACCGCATTAAGAATTGCTGGAGTACCAGTATTATCAAAAGCACCTTGAATATCGAGAAAGGCACCCAGGGCCACTTCACTGCTCTCTAGAGCTTTCTCAATCTTGCTTACAAGTTGGTGCAACACAGTCTCGCATGATCTTCCTGAGACATACGCATGCTGATTATTATGAAAAGGATGTGTCCTAAGAGCTGTATCCATCATATATCTTGAGACCAACTTTTCTAGGATCTTAAGGAAGAAAGAAGATAGATAAATGGGTCTAAATGACTTAGGATCAGTGTAACTATCCCTTCCTGGTTTAGGAATAAATGCGATACGTGAATTACACCACCCTAAGGGAATGTGTCCTAAGGCTAAGCTGGCTCTGAAAAGTTTTCGGGATAAGTTAATAATCCTACGTATGGAAACACTGCTAGTACCGGGATGCGCGGAAGGATAGGCCAACATTCATCGTTTCAATTTCAATACGATACTGAATACAATTCCTCATTGAATTTATAAAAAGAGAAAAGAATTTATTTATAAAAATAAATACATCTGCCTTAAAAAATAAGGTTGCCAATGACACAGAAAAAATTATACAAGATAAAATTGTATAAGACTGATTAATTTTGATGTTTGCCATATAGATGATTTCTCATTATGCTCAATGAACCTCTTAATGTTTCATGAGTAATAATTTTCAAAAAGGATCTGTCCAAATCATATTGTTTCCAAAAGTTCACAAAAAATTTTGATAATGTTCCTCTTGAACCAATAAACAATCCAATCACCTCAACTTTCCAAATTTTAAAATTTTGCTTGAAATATTCAAAGGTAGGATCATATTTTTTTTTCTTTTCTTCATTTACTTCGTTAGGTTGATTTATGTTTATTTCAAATCGAATTGTTGAATCGAGAATTATGCCTTTGTTAGTTTCTCTTTCTATCAATAAAATATTTACTCTTCTGGTGCTTCCTTTAGAAGAAAGACAGTGTACTTCTTCTTGCACTTCCCATGTGTTATACCTTTTTCGGAAGGCATTTGCTATGATACTTCTTATTTTGTGATGCCTAGTGATTCTTAGAAGTTCACCAAACGGACAGAAGCCAAGGGCATGTGCAAGGGTTTCAATCTCACCACAGGCATGCCTGCAGCGGTTATTGCCCTGACTTCTGCTGTGGAGAACACGCACTGGCACCACATTTGCAATCATTTTTATACTGTCTTTCCACTCAGATTCTGACAAGCCTTCTTTATTAATAATACTTTTATTTCCCGGAGTATAGTCTTTGAAAAGTTCAACACCTTTACCCTTTCAATACTGATTCAACCTTTAATAAACTAAAAAAAACTGCACTTGTAGGAGTTCATAAAAAAAATGTTATCCTGTTAGTTGAAACATTTAATAGTTTAGTTTGGTATTACTTTTTGTCTCCGGTACAAGCATGGTAGTTATTTTTCCTATATCACATGTTTCTTCCGATATAAGCCGATGATATCGCAAGCAAAATATCGATATATATATCAGTATCAGAAGCACCGTATCGTCTATCTGCTAGTGTCAAGTCAAGGCCAAGTAGAAC